GTTTTCGACTGTCTTTATATCTTTGAGCTCATATTAAAGAGATATTCAATTCCCGTTTAGGTTGTGTCAGCTAAAAATCGATCGATCTAAAATTCAATTTTTGGGTTGTGTACCGTTACGCTAAATCTTAGAAAATTCATAACTTCCTCAAATGAAGTCAAATTTGGATGCTATCTATATGCACGCTCTCGGTTTAACGTATACTACGAATCTTGTATAGATCGCTAAGACTAAAAAGGATTTTTGTCAAAAATTCACTTTTTACGATACTTGGAGCCATGTCGGTTTAATCGTAAAACTTCGATGGGTCATAACTTCTTCGTTATAAGTCGAATTTCAACGTTCTTTATATGTACGGAATCCTTGTGACATATATTATAACTTTGGTTAAGATTATTTATCCTAAATAATCTCCTATCAAAAATTCAATTTTAACTCTTATTATCTCTAAATTAACTAGTCCGAATCTGCGGGTGTTACAGTAGTTGTATACCCGTTGCTTGTACATAAATCTTGTTCTCTTAACCTTACTTCCTTTTCCCGATTCGGTAGGCATAGCTCGACAAATCACGCATCGGTCCTCCGAACTTGGTTCGGTGACATATGTCTCAGCAAATCATACTTGGATTAACCGTGCCTCGGTGCCTCGAAGGTAGTTCGGAGGTACATACCTCAGTAACCAGGTATATGCCTCATTACATGTATTAAGAAGCAATTTTTGTATTTTTTTTCCCATGATATTTGTTTTTGTTGGATTCAATGGACCTACATACTTCTATTGAACCTTGATCACATTTCAAATCCTCTTCATCATATACTCCCTAATGTACTCTAAGCAAGTGATTATTGTTTTCCCCTCCCTTATATCAATTTACTATTAAACATTCCACAAAGGTTATTCAAAATCATATATGTGACTGGTCTACCTACAAACATAATAGTAACTTAGAACAATATATACCAAATGTGTATAATTTGTCACTAAATTAAGAATGATATACTTGTGAAATGGATTATAGCCCATTGTTGCAGTGGTATCTTCTTCAACCACTCATAATCTTCTTTGTTATATGAATTGAGTTCCTTCATCATATGGTTGAAGTCTTGCACTATTATTGTTGTGGTACATTCCCATAGCTAATATTTGTACTCACTAGTTCTCAAAGTCTTCCTTATGTTTTCATATATATGTCTGAGACAAAATCTGTGTTCAATAAATGGGAACAACTGTGGAATCATTGGAGTTAAGCCCTACAAACGCATTAAAGTATAGTTAGTACAAGTTCAATTAGAAAACTAAAATAAATCTATTACCATTAGTCTATCACTTGTAAAAGTGAAGTTTCAAAGTGGTGACAGGTCCAGATCATCTCCCAGGTACTCAAGAAACCATTTCCAACTTTGTGAGTTCTCAGACTCAACAAGGGCATATGACAATAGGTATATACCATTGTTAGTGTCTAAGCCAATTGTAGTCAATATATACCCTGGGAAAACTCCTTTCATAAATGCCCCATCTAAACCAATAAAATACCTTAGGCATGATTTGAAACCCTTTTTCATTCCACCTTAGAAAACATAGATTCTCTGAAAATGTCTTGAAGTTACATTTACAAGATTTCGTTGTGGAACCGGTTCCGACTTCACAGTTGTGTCAGGATTTGTGGACTGCAACTTTAGTATGTAATCTCTCAGCACTTCATATTGTTTTATGTAATTCCCATCATATGTTTTTGGCATCAGCTATATCCTTGAATACCTTGTCTTTGGAGAAGCTCACCCGATATCTTTTTTGTAGTAGTTCTTGTACAACTTTGGTTGGCACATTTAACTTAGATTCCAGTAGATCCATAATATATTTAGAGAGGAACTTTGTTGTGGCAGATCTTACTTTTCTTATATTTAGGCATGAATATTCAGGTTGGTATGTTTTCACGAACCAACTGTCTTCCTCACTTTTCCTAGATGCTTGTATAACCCAAGGACAAGACAGTTCAACTTTGTCCTTACTTGTAATTTTGCTTTTTTCCTTTACTTTTCTGTCCAATGCTAGATCCATCTACTTACCCCTCATTAAATATTATTTTTCCTTTGCATGTAGCCCTCAACCTTAATTTATCATTTTTTTTAACAAAAATATTCTTCCTGGTTTCCAATGAATGATGGCCAATCTTGTCATTCAACTCTTTTTTACTTTTGTATTTTTGTCATATACGAAAATTTGTTTTATGAAATTATCCTAAAGAACACCTTATTTCCTTCCCTAGCTCTTTTATAACCTCTATTCTCTTCTTGCCCATATCAGATTCATCACCCACTAAATCCCATTCCTCATTGTTAATTACATCCAACTCCAACTCTTCATGGTCATGATCTCCATCTTATCCCTTATTATTTTCTCAAAAAACTATGCTTCAGTGTCAATGCTCATGTGGAAATCCCTCATATCCACTTTGAACTCCAGGAATGATATTGTCTTCATCCACCCAATCACTATCCTCACTGTCATCACTATCATCTTCCCCATCAAATTTGGTCCTATATTCCTGATCATTTTCTATGTTACCTTCCATTTCAGTCTCCATGTAATCCATGTCATTAACCAAGTTATATTCTATGTCAGCCTCGTGTCCATGTTTACTAAGGTCAACATTATCATGTTCTTCTATTTCAAATTGACTATGTTTTTCCACTTCAACTTGAGCTTGTTCTTCCACTTCTACGTGTGCATGTTCTTCCACTTCAACATCTGCATTTGATTGTAATATCTTGCGGTAGAAACCAATATCAAATTCACTGGCTTCTTTAATAAAGTTATTTGTTATAAGCTATTTCTCTCTATCTCTTGTAATACTAACATCAACATCATTCTCCAAGCTCAATCTCTTACTACAAGATGGCATCCCTTTCTCCTTATTCGAAATCTGTATCATATTATATTCATGGGATTTTGGAGTTGGCAATGGTTCTTCTAAAATAAGGGATGATCTGGGTGGGCTTGTGAATGGTTGTACCTCAACTTTGGGGTTTTCATTATCATCATTTTCATTTATTTCATACATTTATACAATAGTTACCTTCCTAATAAGTTTAGGATTCATAAAGTAAGTAAGTAACTTTGTCTCGCCATGTTTAGTATATAACCTCATGAGTTTGTGATCACTTACATATTGGGCAAAATTGCGCAAATTATCATCATTGCCTAAAGGGTTAATACCAAAGTGATAGTATATTATTGGAGGAACAATGTACCTTAACCCTCTCATGATGACATCCAACTCATGAATTGAAAACTCGTCTATATCCACCATGTCAACATAGATCACTCTTCCCTCAACGTACTAAACATCAGGAAACTTGGAGAACTCACCTCTATGGTATAGCTTGATGCTAAAAAATGTTGGGTGTCCATCTTCAAATCAAGAACAAAAACTATTTCGTAAAAATCATTTCACAAAAATACATGCTATAATGGTATGTTCATATACTAAACCAACTGTGATTAGAAAAAAAAACACTTAACTTTGAGATTAGGGTTTTTGATTAGATAATGCAAGACCAAGAAGATGTGATAGGAGGTGGAATCGACAAAAAGGTAAGTAGGATTTGGCTGTAGATATCAATTATAAGAGGATATTAATTTAATCAGATATTAAAAGAGAACATGTGAATTAGCATACTTACCCTCACACAAAGCGAGGGGCATGAACGGATGTTAAGTTATTGGACTATTTCCACAACAAAACAAATCTTTTTGATCATTGGTGCAACTCCAAAATTTTTTAGACCAAACTTTCAATTTTTGGCATACCACAAGAACCAAACTTGCAATTTTCTCTTAAAGAAATTTGTTTTGTGTTTAATGTGTATTATGAAAATGGTGTTGCAATATATAATAGCTACCAAAAATGCAAATACTTTCTCTTTAGCCCCGGTAGTTTGAAAACATGTGTCTTTAAAATATTTTACATGTCAATTTGAATATTACAGAAAAATCATCTAATGTTTTAAATTAGCAATTGTTTCCAAATCATTGACTAATGATTATGCTTTTGAAGTATATTATTTAAATTGTTAACCATGGTTTCTATAAATATGAATCTAGTAAGATAATAATTAAGAGGTTAACGTTGTAATTTCTAAAGGGTTGGAACTGCAAAAGTATTATGTCCTGGATTGATTTCCAAAGGAATGAATTTCAAAGTCGAATAATATATTTTTCTATATTGTTAAAAAAACTAATTTATTTCTACCAATACTTTTGAAACTAATATATTTTTCTATCAAATTGTTAAAAAAATACTGTTACTTGAGGAAACCGCCAAAAAAGTTCAAAAAAAAGAAAAAGTCAAACCATTGGATTTAATCCCAAATGCTAACAAACAATATGGAGGGAAAATATGTGTTTGATTAAGTCATGGTCCTAATACAAAGAAGAATCAGTGAGTCGTAAGTGACATGTTACTACATCTCTATATAATATGTGTATAAAAGTGGAATACATGATTATGCTTTTAAAGTATATTATTTAAATTGTTAACCATGGTTTCTATAGATATTAATCAAGTAAGATAATAATTAAGAGGTTAACGTTGTAATTTCTAAAGGGTTGGAACTGCAAAAATATTATGTCCTGGATTGATTTCCAAAGGAATGAATTTCAAAGTCGAATAATATATTTTTCTATATTGTTAAAAAAACTAATTTATTTCTATCAATACTTTTGAAACTAATATATTTTTCTATCAAATTGCTAAAAAAAATACTGTTACCTGAGGAAACCGCCAAAAAAGTTTAAAAAAAAAAAAAGTCAAACCATTGGATTTAATCCCAAAGGCTAACAAACAATATGGATGAAAAATACGTGTTTAATTAAGTCATGGTCCTATTTGCATATTAATACTAAGAAGAATCAGTCAATCGTAAGCGACATGGTTACTTCATCTCTATATAATATGTGTATAAAAGCGGAATACATGATTTGATAATTCATTCACAAACTAAAATTAAAATGGGTTTCTTTGTTAAGAAACCAATGACAATGGCAATGACAATGGTCTTGCTCTTGAGCACCATCTCTCTTCTCATATGTTCTTCGTATGCGCAGGGTTTCACTGGGTAGGATAACTATTTCTCTCTATTATTCTTGTTGTTAAACAAAAGTATGTCTATATATCGTTATTAATCACTTTAATTAGTTGTTTATTCAATTTGTTAATGGTATAAATAATAAAGTTTAAGATGGACTTAATTGAACGTCGATCCAGTAGTAATCAACTAATTTGTCTATGTATATATTTTTCATGTAAAAATTAATACGTGCAGGGACCCCATTTATCGGATGCCACCCGAGTATGATACGAGTATGCCTGGAACTGGAAGTGGTACGCCCCCATAATAATATTCTAGGAATATGTTGAGTGTTGGAAGCCAACATATTGCGTAATTCTCTTTGTATTTTAGGAATTAATTTGAAGATGTACGTCTTAATGTGTATTTTACATGCATAACTATATATATAGACATAAAAATAAATCTATGTTGTATTGATCATCATATTCATAACAACCTTTATATATTATAAAAAAAATATTGGATTAATTAGATTAACCGACAATGATAAACGGAATATTAAAATAATAAGAAAAAGACCTTATCTGATATTTAGGGTTCATCAAGTTACATAATTCAACTACAGCACCAGCTTAATTACCTCCGAAACAAATGTAAGCCGACATGGATACAAGTCATAAACTACTATTACGATTCATTGCAACATGAACATTTTTCTAGTAATTCAAAATAGAAATTCAACTTCGGTTGAAAAGTCGTATGAATAAAGGTAATTAAACTCTAATCTCTAAAATTAAGAACGACAAATTTAAACACAAATAAAAGAGACTAAACAAAAATTCATTAATTCACCATTCATTATAGCGTTATGATCCGAGGATGGACGACCATGTTCGCATTAAAATACATGTTTTAATAAACTTGAATCAGGAATAACTCCAATAAGTCGATATGTCCGAGTGGTTAAGGAGATAGACTTGAAATCTATTGGGCTTCGCCCGCGCAGGTTCGAACCCTGCTGTCGACGTTATTATTATTTTTCGATAAAATTAAATTTAACATGGCTTTTTTATAATCTAATGAAAATATTCAACAAGTTATGCTGGAATTTACTGATCAGTGAACAGAAGGGATTCGTCAAAACACTCGATCCAACAAACCTTCCAGCAAATAATCAAAAACAATCCATTACATACTCAATAAAGATGTGAAAATCTTTCATATTTTGACTATAATTTTTTCTTCAATTTTAATATATAAACCTGCATATTTTTCGGTTGATATTTCTTCATCTAAATATATATCATCTTCATTTTATTTATATTAAGATTAAAAAGATACTTATGAGCAGGGCCGGTCCAAGACAATTTGGGGCCCAAGACTAAATAAAAAAATTGGGTCCTTTATAATAAATATTTATAACTTTTTTTTTCGTAGAAAAAGCAACACCTCTGAAGAATTTTATTAATTAAAAAAGAATAAGACAATTGTAAGTGACTACCCCACCTATGGAAAGAATAAAAAAATTAAACAAGCCCCAAAGCCAAACAACCTAATATCTGCTAATACAACACAACAAATAAAAAGGTAGACATGTTCTGAACCCCAATACATATACATAGCAAACAAAAACTAAAGAAAATTACATTTTCGAGCTTTTCAGTTATAGGCTTATAGAATCAGTTTCAATATAATCCAACAACTCTTTCATATGTAGCTATTGTTGGCTGCCTGTGATGTTGTAGATAACCTCTATGAAATTGAATAATATGATCAGTGTGGGAATCCAACTAAGAGCAGAAGGGCATAACAATTGCAAAAGCCAAACACAAGCATACAATTCTGAAGTTCAGAATAACAGGGAAATCATAATTAAAAAGATTAACATTCAGAAGTTGAAATTAAGCAAATGCATAAGGAATCATCTCTAAAAATATTACAGGACTTAAAGAAATTCCAGGGATTCCTGAGATTCACAATCAAAAGGTCAGAAACTCACATTCTAAGATTCTACACAGTAACTAAAATTCTAAAGTTAAAAAAAGATTCATAAAAAAATAGAATAAAACAGAAAAATAAAAAATTTTAAGAAGGTTTGAAAGTAGACATTACAGAGATTCACAATCAAATGGTAGGATACTCAGATTCTACTTACGATTTCTTCTCAATTTCAATAAGAGTAGAAGACTGTGACTCTCGTGTCTTAATCACAGTGGTGGTCTGATTTTGTTATGTTATTCCAAAAAAAAGGAACCTTCAAATCGAAAATAACAAGGGAAAGAATTGAGTTCTAATCATGAGATATCATGAAAATAATGAGAAGCAAATGGAAATAAGACTCATTTGCCTATCGATGCTAGTATCAAGGCGTATGATATGGTGAAAACTGAAAAGATGGAGAAACAAACAAAATCAAAAAATCAAAACACATGAAGGAGAAATCGATTCACTTGAAATGTGAATAAGAGACAGAAGAAATCAACTAACTGTTTGCTTCTTGAATCCGGAGAAGACGTTTGGATTTTCCATATAAATCCATTGTTGAAGAGTTATGGCGCCTTGGAAGTCGGACATCGCTTACGCACGCCAGTTCTATTATCCCGCTTCATCTTTTGGATTGGCGCTGCTTTGATAAGAGTATTGGCCATTTGGGCTTTGAATAAGGCTTAAAACTAATGGACTGTTACTATATAATTAACATAAGAAGTATAAAATGGGGGCCCTTCGGTATTTGGGGGCCCGGAGCGGTCGCCTAGCTTGCCCATGCCCATGGGTCGGCCTTGCTTATGAGGCACAAGACATTTACTACATGGACCGATGAAATTCAAGAGTTTCAAGCACGTTTCATCCCCATGAAACTAAATTAGGAATTTTACATCACAGTTAGAATTTCGAATAAGGAGGTTGTGGAGGACATATGGTAAAACTTTGTTGGATAAGATTCTAAATGTAGTAATTATGAATACGTTACCAGTTGTTTCTATTTCTAAAAACTGAAGGAATGAAGATTGTAGCGGTATGAACATGTCCAAAGAAGGTTGCAACAATGACGATTAGGAGGGTGGACTAAAGTCGATCACAATGTATAGAAGAGGAGGAGATGGCATTTGTTGGGAGGTTAGATCAACAAATAGTTATGTGTATATGAGAAAAATAGAAAATGTCAACCTGTATTAGGTATATCCAAAAGCAGGGATCGAATCCTCGTACGCACAAAACAATTGCAAAATGTCTTTTTGCATAAGTTATTCTTTTTCGACACTTTAAATAAACAATAAAACTAAAAGATGATAATTTTATCTAAAATGACAACAAAATGATAACATAAATGAAAGTAAAAACTATATTTTTATTTAGAAAAAGATGGCGGAGAATATATTTCGGTTTAAGTTCTATTATGTGAGTAATTATAAATCTGAGTACTTGTTAATCAAAATTGATTGCAAGTAACATTAATAATCAAAGGGTTTCTAGCCCAGCGGTATCCGGTGTTGCCCTCCCTCCTTGATGTTGAGGGTTCAAGTTCCGTCGTGGACATAGGTGGATTTAAGGTGTAGCTTAAGAGTAGGTTAGATTTGTCGTTTCAAAAAAAAAAAAGTAACATTAATAGCCTCTAATATCATTTAACTTGTAAAATAATCTAGTTAAAATAAGCACTTTAACTAAACACAATATTATTAGGCTTTAATGTCATATAACTTGGGAATTGCCGGTGATGAACTATCGGAGACGGAGAGACCAAGAGAAGTAGAGATGTTGAATGAGTGAATGGTCTCGATGAGGACTAATAGTCTTCTAGGATTCTTTTTTCAATTTTTACAAAAATGGGCTCTGAATTATCAAATAGTGTCGACAAAACAAAGAAAATAAAAGAAGGGATAATTTATAAATAAGGCTACCTCCATTGGTAGTTTTGGACGAGCTCCTTGTCCACCTTTTATTGAAAAAAAAATATGAAAATTACATAAATAATAACGGCCTAGGCCACACCCATGATCCAAGTTCATAAAGGGTCACCAACTTATTTTGATGCTACGTGTTTATTACCGAAGGGATAGATATATTACTTTTTAATAACCACATTTTTATCAAATGATTTCTAGCTCAATGATATACGGTGTTACTTCAATTTTTAAAGTTGAGGGTTCAAGTCCTGTCGTGAGCATATATGAATTTAAAGAGTAGTTTAGGAGTATTTAAGATTTACCCTTTAAAAAAAATTAAAAAACCAATTTTATCTCGGTAAAAAAAATAAAAAGAAAATATTAAAACTCATGATTTTTTCTCTATAAATAAAGTATAATATTAATATAGTTCCGTTTTATTTTTATTATATTTTTTTTAAACAAGGTTAGTTTTAGATTAGGTTGTTAATAGGTATGAATAATCCTATTAAATTGGATTGAGTTGCTAATGTGATAGTCTAAGGATGAGTCACATTAGTTTTTGAAAACTTAGGACTTAAACAGCCAATATGTATAAACTACAATTTACTCTTAGATTTATAAAATTTTAACATTTCTTAAACACCATTCTTCCATTTTCTATTTTCGTAAGTTCTTTTACGAAGACATGTATCAAACTAATATTTTTTGTCTTTAACTTTAAGCCACTTCACATTTACGTTTAGACCATTTTTTTCATTCTTTTTCTTTGAATGGCAGAAATTTTATAAAAATCAAAAGCTAGTGAAAAAAAAAAAAAAAAAAAAAAAAAAAAAAAAAAAAACTAGACCGGAAAAGTACAAAACATGACCAAGGAATTACATGACAACACTAATCGAGTTTTGAAGCCAACACACCCAATCAATGGGAAACATGTGTACGATTACACCAAATAAAAGATTGAGCAACGAGACAATCAAACAAATACTTTATTGTTTTTTTTCACTTCCAAAAAACAATCGGTTAAAAAATCTCCAAATATACCACCACATGACATAAAACACACCCTCTAGGAAAGTCATAACACCCTTTTGTAACCCAACACTACCGAACCAAGTGCGTTAATCCTCATACGACATAGTAACAACATGTCTAAGTCCCACAACCCCAACAACCGAGATCAAAGATCAGAGGAAACAACACAAGAGAAATGTGGTTAACTGTCTCCATATCAGACTCACACACCGGACAATTAAAAGAAGTAATATCCAATCCTCGAAGAGCAAGGTTGGAACGATAGTGAAGCTTATTTAAAGTCAATCTCCACACAAAACATTAGTTTTAATCGACACCAAATGAACCCATCTAGTAGCAATAGAACACAAACAAAAGGCATCAACTGATGACCATCAACTGGAGAAGAACCCTAGAGATCGACGACACTCTGATTGATGGTAGACAAAGAGTAGCCATTTCATAGTAGCTTGCTTCATCTTTTCTTCTCTCTATTTTTTATGTTGTGTAAACAATCGGGTTTTGAAGCCAACCACCCAACTAATATGTTGGGTTTATTTAGAGAGAGAGAGAGAGAGAGAGAGAGATGATTGTTGTGGAAATGTGATATGGTTTTAAAAAAATATATATGAGGGTAGTTGTAGAAAAAGGATGTTTGAATTCAAAGAGTCTCTTTGGTGTGTGTTGAAAATAACTCGTACCTAAAACATTCATCTAATTTGTCATGAATTTAAGCTAATTAGGTCGGGTTTATCGTGTTTCAAGCTAGAAAATTTGGGTATTCGATTAACTTGATACTTAATTGGTTCGGTATAAGGTATACATATGAGATTTAGGGTATACCATGTTTTTTTTTTCAAAATAATACCCATTGGGTAATACCACCACAATTATCTTTCTCTTTCTTCAATCTTGGTGTTGTCACACATCCACATAAAAATAACCATTCGGTTCCTTCTTCCACTGTAGCTAAGATTATTTAAGGAACCTTTTAACTTATTACTCGTTGCACACCGGTATAAACCAAAACTATTGTTTTGATAAAGACTTTTTAAAAAATAGCTTATAGTGGTTCCATAATGGAGATAAATCATTTTTTTATAAGTAGCTCCTCACTAAGTTATTAAAAGTTTTCAAACATTTTTTAAAAATTCTGTTTTGATACTGCTATAAGTCAATAAGCTAATAAGCTAAAAAATGTTTGTAATTTTGAATAAGCTCTCCCAAACACCCTCTCATTCTCATTCTTACTTCTTTCTTTTATCTCCGTTTTGCAGCCCATCATCACCAACGCCATGAAGTCGCGAAGTCAT